ACGAATCAATTAAACGTGTATACAACAATGCAAGTCATATGATGCAAAAAAAATAATTCGTACAACATCATATGCACTCAACGATACCAGACTGCACCAAATAACTACACAAATTGCACAAATGTTATGCAGCTGTTGCACTGAAAGAAAAAAACTAAAAAATGAAAAAATGAAGACACAGAATAAATCAACTGTTATATACACTTACATGCACACTTACTTCCGACGCACAGTTCATGTCATTCCCAACGGGACTGCCACTATGTATGTCGGCACGGTGATGACCATCCGACCCATGTATGTCATCATCAACATATCCTCTCCCAAATGCACCAGCCGCAACCTCGTCACGCTCTCTCGCTTTCAGCAAACCGTTATTCCATGATTTAAAAATCGGTAGTGATCTTGGAACGGATCTAATCGATAACATAACCTTGTCGACATAAAACAGCTACACGAACAGAAGACCACAATAACGCAAATAAATAAATAGTGATGAAACCAATAAAGTAAACAGAATAAACGTCATCGAGGATCGAATTCACATACCGTCAAAAATAGCAAAGGTCCAGTGAAATTCTTGCGCTTCTGACTAACATACCATGATTTCTTAGCACCCACCAGACACCGAATCATGTACGCACACCAGTTCATCTTGCTCACGTTCGATAAATCATCGAGCAAGTGAACCGTGCGTAAGTTCGCCACCCCGTTCTGAGAGCTCTCAAACAAACACGTGATCATTAGAACCAAAAAATGCCGTTTGAACCAGTCGTCGCTCCTATCACAGATCTGAATCATATCCAACACCTTTGTAGCCGTTATTTTGGTGGCAATGTTGACATTGTACACATCGGCCCATTCTTTCAACGCTTCCGACTCTGTTTTTTTCTTCCGATTTGTGACCTCAATATTCCCACGGGGCAGACCCATCACTCTATATGCATCGTCTTCTTTCACATGGATTTTCCCACCGTCATACAATTGCAGCTTCCGGTCAATATGGTTGAAGTTATCAATCAGCCAATATCCCATTTTCGCCGGTGTTGCTGTTATCGTCAAATCGAGCAAGCTTCCAAATCCCATATCGCGGACTGCACGTCTCTGGTCCTCAGACAGACCGGACACCGCCTTCACGAATATGGCTGGCGATGTTCGCGTGTGGATGGTCGGGAGCGCATCATCGGTTACTGCCCGGGTATCCTCCAGTGTATGCGTACCACCTTTTTCGTTAACAGTCCGTTGCACTCTTACATCACCTGTAAGATATATAAACCTTTATACAATTTAGTATCGTGTAATGAAAACAAATATAGTGATCATAAGACGTATAACTTTATACCGGCTCTCGTTGTCGTTTTTTGGCAACGTTATGTTTGAGTTTGATTGGCGTCCTCGCTTTCTGGCTGACTTGCCATTTTTGAACGTTTCGCACGTCCCGCTGCCCGATCCGGTGTAAAAATCCTACGCTTGATTGCTGCGATTTATAAAACATTATACGAGCATATTACGTACAGTTGGTGCTAGCAGGTATTTATTTTTTTTAAACGTTCAATGCTCGTGTATATTAACATAAGCCACATGTAGATAACGTATAGAAAATAACACAAAACTCTTAGAAAAATGACATAACGACCTCTATCGCTTGGTTTTCCAATTAGTTGTTCATCCGTATTGTTGTTTATATCTGCACAATACATATATTAGAATAAATAATTTCACAATAAGTGATCAACAAAACTACAATATTCCAACTAAATTGAGACATTCAAACTCTGATAAGAAAACTTATAAACAAGAAATAATTAATAGATTAATGACAAATTAGTAAACCCCGAACAGTCGTATAGATGTAAATATCCACATATTGTAGTCACAGGACAGTTATTCATATAAAGATTTCATAAATAGTTACCTTGGTTTGGGTTACTGGACTTTGCGGTCGTATCGAATTGTTGTACTGTATGTAGTCTTGTACTACGTCGAGCGGCAGGCCGGGTGGGTGTAATATCTGTTGTGGGTACATCGTCTACGTGATGGTCGTCATCAGGACGGTCGTTGACACGTTCTGGTGCATCGGGAGTTCGTTCCGGCACTGAATATGTACAACAAAATATTGTTGAGAACACACGTATAAAAGCAAAGAACACTGATATACGGATAGTTTATTCATATAAAGATAAACAGAATAGAAGAAAATAAGAATTAATAAGCTTATAAACAATATAAAGTTAGAATATTAATGTCAACGATTAAATTGGCACAGGTGAAAGTGTCACGTGAGAAATTGAATCCCACAGTCGTGTATATGTAATAGCCACGTATTTAATTCACAGGACAATTATAAAATATAGATATTTCATAAATAGTTACCTTCTTGTGGGTTACTAGACCGTGCAGTCGTAACGCTTTGTTGTACTGAAGGTAGCTTTGTTCTACGTCGAGCGACGGGCTGATTCGGTGTAATATCTGATATGGGCTCATCATCGTCAGGATGGTCGTTATCAGGGCGGTCGCTGACACGTTCCGGTGCATCGGGAGTTCTCTCTGGCACCGAATACGTACAACACTCGATGGTTCAGAATTCACGTATAAAAGCATGGAACACTAATAAACCGATAGTTTAAAGCTGATAAGAACAACTTAATCAAATATTACAAATAGTGATAATATATATAATCACTAAAAAGGTAAATAGCAACAAACTAAACACAACATACAACACATCATAGAATGTACCTGTGTCGTTATTATGTGAACCTCCGTCGCCGTTATGTTCAGGTACGATGACGGGCTTCTTGCGGGTAGCACCTGCACAAAATCCAAAACAGATCATAATACCCACACACTTATTGGTTGCTCGAAAAAAAGTAGATCAAATCTACATCAATCTGAAACTAAAAAAATGTGGGAAACTACATGAACAGCCCAACAAATAAACATACACAAAACAACACCACTAAATATAATAAAACTATCAGAAGCGAAGGTACCATTATATATATATATATATTTTTTCATCAGAGTACGATAAGAACTCAAAGAGGTTGTACAACACTAACGAACAGA